AAACCCTGATAATAACCCAGGCTTTGATATAGCAAAGCAGGATCTAGTTGAGAGACTGCTTGTTGCTGACCAGTATAGAATGGTGATGGAATCATTTGATTTCCGGTAATTACGGACGATATTGGAGACGATAATGAATTTCCATAAGTCACAGTGGAAGTTCCTTGCGTGCCAGTCATCTGACGATTTAATAAGTAACTGTAAAAAAAAAAAATTAATTAAAATAAATCAAAAAATTTTTAATTTTTTTAAAGAGAACAAACCTTTGATATTGAGAATCGTAGGGTAAATTCATTTGATTCAAATTTTCATAATCTTCCTCTGCAAAATTGAGAATATCATCCGGTTTTACAGCATCAATGACTTTTTTAACGGTGCCATCGATTTTATCACTCCATTTTTTCATTTCCGCCAACAAATCCCGAGTTATACATCCTAAATCTTTTAATTCAATTTGAATGATTGATTTGATTTCTTTAAGTTGGTCGCTTACGGCTTGGAGCCCGCTATTGTTCGCCATCATGAAATGTCGTAATTGTGCATCCAACCGCTCCGGACTAGGTCGAGCTTCCTGTAAAAAAAAAAAAAAAAAAAATAAAATCTTAAACAAATTTTTTTTTTTTTTTTTTTCAAATTCAGAAAAATTATTAAAAAAAGAAAAAAAAAAAAACCGTACAAATCGAGAACTATTTTTTTCTAAAAAATTTTGTTTGGATGTACGAGGCGTCCCGTGACTCTTCATGCCCAACAAATTGCTTGCATTGTAAATATTTATCATGCTCTCCATATTATCGTCGACATCGGGAGAAATACGATGTGGTACAATATCCGTTTCATCGCTCTCGGTATCCCCGTTTCGATTTACTAAAATTGTACATTTTATCAAGTTTTAATTATCTGATAAAGAAAAAAATATTTTATTTTTAATTGCTTACGCGAATTGTCCGAATCAATTACTGCCAATTGCTTTTCCACCGTTTCTAAATGATCTTGCAAATGACTATTCAATGGATGATTGAAATCCACTCCCGGACTTCTCAATCTATCCAACGTAAGGTAAAATGCGTCGCGAGCTCTGGTCAAGAAAATTATGTGTTGCGATCTATTTTCCGATGTTATCGATTCGGGTAAATGATTAATTTCTTCCGAAGCTAATTTTTCGTATATCTATAAATGAATTAATAACAAATACAAATATTTTCTTTTTTTTTTTTTTTTTTTTTTTTTTATATAACTGGTTTCTGGCCAACGAAGACCTGAGCACGTCCAGCCTCCTTTTACAAGTTCGGTTTTTATCGTTAGTCTTCGTTTATATTGACCAGCAATCAAGATTATATAAGAAAAACGAGTTTAATTATAAAGTTTTTAAAATTTAGTTCAAAAATTAGTATTACAAAAAACTTTTTAATATTTTCCGGTTTAAAAAAAAATTAAATAAAACAACCAATAAATTATAACTTACCAAACCCTGATAAAATGCAGCATAAGGACCTTTCAACTTTTGAAACGCGTCTATGGCTTCTTCCGTTCGGCCAAGTTTCATCAATCTGCAGCCCAAATATAATCTTCCATCTTCTAAATAAGCTTTGATTTCGTTTGCAGTTAATTCCTCTCTAAAAAAAAAAAAAAAAAAAAAAAAACGTTTTTAGAGATTTTTGATTCCAACTCGTTTTATTAAAAAAAAAAATAAAAAATAAAAATTTTAATTACCCTTTATAATCAAATAATCGATTGGGAAAAACGCGTAATTTTTGTCCCTTTTCCAATCGCTCCAGCAAAGGTATGGCCGCTGACCAATATAAATAAGCTCTTCCTTCCAAACCCGTGATTTCACTTGTATTTTTACTTCCGGCAGCCTAAAAATGTTATTATTAAATCATTAAAAAATGGTAAACATCACGCATAAGCGTACATTAATACATAGAATTCAATTATAACAATACCCTTTCTTGAAATAATTTGGCCAGCTTAACAATTAACTTTACATCTAAACCATGTTGCTCTATAACTCTAATCGTTTCAATTCCTTTCATTAATTTAAGTCTCGCTTGAGAAACATTTTGAGATAATTCATTTTTGTAGCTTTGATACACTGCTTGCCACCTTTAACAAACAAAATTTCACGGGTTAGTAAAATGTCTTTTTCGTGTTAGTATTTAATAAGTAATACTTACCATTCGGACTGAGCTGATGTGCAAAGTTCTTCCGAAATGCTTACGGGTAATTTATCTGGACGATCATTACGAACTTCATTTTCGGTCGCAGCTTTCCCGCACAGTACTGCAAAAATGTAAAAAAAATAATTAAATCGTGACGTACAAAGTATTTGTTTATCACTACGAAAATATTCAGAAAAAAAATTTAAATTTTTCACCTGAAGCATAGACAAAAGCATCGACATCTAATTGATTTAATGACTCCGGACCCGTTTGAGATAAATTTTCGACGGTAAATTGTAAATTAGGAAAAGTTTTACATTTAAAATCGTGACTGAGTTGTCCGTTTGAATCAAAATAAGATAATCCAAGCCAAACGATATGATGTAACGAATGAGTATAATTAAGCTGAGAAACTATAAAAATTTAAAAAAAAAATTAGTGTTTTCATAAATATTTTTTTTAAATAACACGAAATACGAAAATAAAAATATAATACCATCGTCAAATTGTTTCAATTCCGCTTTTGTAATAATTTGTGTAGGTATAAAGGCAAAAAAAGGATCATTGACAAAATGTGAAGTTTCTGCTCCTTGAGATTGTTCTTTGCTATAAAATATATCTTGATACGCAAGGTTTTGCCATTTACCTCCACAATTTTGAAAAACCTGTAAATACGTAAAAAATTTTATTATTTTTTTTTGCTTCATATAAATATGCACATATTAAAGAAAATATTTTTTAATTACCTTTTTTAAAAATTTTGCTTCATTGTTTTGGCACCACGACTGAAGGATGTGTCCTGCTTGTGATACACGCGATGCAGCACAATTACTCCACATTTTGACTTCTTTATCCAGATTTTTTTTCCCTTGCCACATGTTATACCAAGCACTATTTAAATCCATTGAACTTTGAGAAGCTTGTAAAAGTAAAGGACTAGCTGTTCTCTGAGCTTTTGGCCATAATCCATATTCCTTTTTAGCTTTTTTAAGAATTAATGTGGCTAAATGAAATGAAAGTTGAGTTCTCAAATGCTTTAAACATTCTTTAAAAAAATTAGTATCTTCATTAGGCACTGTTGTTATTTTAGAAAACGAATGAAGACTTTGATCGAATGTAAATAATGCCGAACAGCAATCGGATATTGTTTTCACTTCATCTTGAAATTCTTCCATAAACAAATCGACTTTTCTTTCCAAAAAATACAGTTTTTTAATGAAAAAAATAAAATCAAGATCTTTGTTGTCTTTTTCATATGCCTTAAAAATAAATTATCGACATTTTAAAAAATTTTTCCATAAAGTCATTTATTTTTTAGGTTAGTGTTGAAAATAAAATATTACCTGAACAACATTACATAAGCACTCATACCATCTACAATTATTTGAAAACAATTGTTTTTCTTCCAACTCTAATGCATTTGTATAAGCTAATTTACTACGATTAGTTTCTAAATAAAAATTCAAAAGACGTATTCTAACATTGACATCGAAAGGACGAACTTTTATTTCGGCTAGAAACAAAAAAAAAATGTACATTATTACATCTACTATTAATTATTAATATAAATACTATAATTATCACAAGTAACTTACATGCAATCAATTTGTCCAATTGTCCTGTTGATTCTACTCCACTCTGTTGAGTTTTTATAAGATATTCTTTTAACTGAAAAACTACTGGACTTTTAGGAAATATAGACTCTGCTCTGTGTAACCAATATTCAGGTTTTGAAACTCCAGTACAGCCAGATTCCATAATTAGTGAACATATTTTTAATATCAAATCATGTTGATTGGCATTTAATTCCAATGAATTCTAAAATTAATTTTTTTAAAAGTCTCGATAAGAAAATATTAAAAATGAATAATATGTTAACCGATTAATTATGAAGAACTATTCCGTAGAAATAAAAACCGAGAAATTTTAAAAACATACAGAAATACTTACCTTGTATGAATTAAAAGCTTTATCTTTTAAATTTAATGCAAAGTAGCAATCTCCCAATAATCTAAAAGCTGCTGCTGAATTTGAAGAAACTAATATGTATCTGTTAATATATTTAATGGCTGAATTGTAATCTTTAACTTTGTAGTATAATTTGGCTATTTGATAACATTTTAAATTTCTCTGAAATGAAAGAAATAATATTACGTTTATAATACGAAAAATATTTATAAGACACAAAAATATAAAAAATTATGGATCAATATGAAATGTACATTAGTAGGACTACTGTCACATAGTTTTAAATACTGTGTGTGACACGAACAGAAAAATTACATAACTTGTATTGAAAAGTAAATTTACAATTAAAATAAAATAGAAAAAAAAATTCAAAAAATTGTTTTTATTTTTAATAATTAATAACATGTTATTAAAAGTTAATAAAAAATTAATAGTTATATTTCAACCCGGCAGAAAAATTGGTAACAGAACGTGCTAAAACGTGAGCACATATAAAATATTTTTTTTATTTTTTTAATGAATTTAAATAAAAAGAAAGAAGAAGAAAAAAATAATTACCTCATTTTCACTTTTAAGATTTCTAAAAATTTCATGCACATGATGATCTACATCTTGCTTTGTATGTAACATTTTATAATAATAATTCCGACGAGGACAAATACCATTTAGCTTAACGCAAGCGTCCAAAATGATGACGCTAAAATGAGGTAAAATATGTCATAGAGTAATAAAAAATAAAATTTCGCGCTTTTTTTTCCGATCTATATTTACATCCGATCAAAATTTATCGTAATGGCTCCTCAACATTTTAACTGAATAGTAACTAATTTGAACGATGATAATATTAAATAAATAAGAAAATAAATAAATAAATATCCTGTTTAATAATTTACCTCTCACTCAAACTTTTTTTGTAAAATGTAATTTTAACACGACTTCAAACATGACATATTAAATACAATAAGAAAATAATAATAATTAAAAAAAAAATTCATTGAATCAGAGAATGAGAATTTTTTCATTCAATCAGAGAATTATTAATTGAATTATTATTATTATTAAACATTATGTAAAACAAAAAATATTTTTAAATTTTATTCATGACTCAACAAAATAAAAATAGGAAGTTTTAAATAATGAAAAAAAAATTTATTTATTAACAGCAAGTATTTCTAAATTTTATTCTTAACTCAATAAATTTTAACAAGGTTCAGACGTTATTATTATTATTATTATTCAATTTAAAAAAAATAATAATAATTATAATTATAATATAAAATAAAATGGCAACAACAGTCAAGGTTTTTTTTTTCCTTTTTTCTTTTCTCTTTTTAATTAAGCCTCGAATTATTTGAAAAATTTCATCAGATTTACAATCACTTCAAAAAAAAAAAAAAAAACAAACAAACAAACAGTACCAATCAACTAATAATAATAATAATAATAATAATATACACGACACAAATAGTTTTTTTTTTTGGAAAATTAATTTTTAATAAAATAAAATCTTAGCGAAAAAAAAAATTTTCCCACCATTCCTTATACTAAATTCAATTAAAAAAAAAAAAACACTGTACACAATTTTTCCTTTATTTTATTATCCGACTCAGAGTCCAATCAATCAATCAATCAATCAATCACTAATCAATAATCACTTTTATTATTTATTAAAAACAAAATTTTATTAAACACCATTTTTCACTTATTATTATTACAATTTTCTTTACTATTTATGCTTTCCAATATTCAATCAATCAATCAATCAATCAATGGATCGATCCATTAATTATTTAATTAAAATTTTTATTTATTTATTAATAATAATAATAATAATATTAATAATAATAAAAAATTTACATCATCATGGAAGATCAAAAAAAATTTTATTTTATTTTTTTTTCTCTTTCTTTCTTTCTTTCTCCATCATTATTTTTTCTAATCCTAAAAAAAATTAATTAAAATTAGGATTCGAATAATAATAATAATAATAAATAATTTTTATCAATAATACTTATTAATTAACATTTTTTTTCCCCCTTCCTTCCATGTTTAAAAAAATTACAATATCCACAAGATTTTATTTTTTATATTAAAAAAAAAAAAAACTTTTTTTTGACGGTTTGTACTTATAATAATCGTTAAAAAAAAAAAAAAAAAAAATTTGTAACAAAACATTTTTTTTTTCCGTTGAGCAAAATTAATAAATATTAATTAATAATAATAATAATAATTATTATTATTATCATTACTACTACATTTACCTTATCATTGATGTAAAAAAAAAAAAACTTTCGATTAATCATCATCACACGACATGTTATTGTTAACAATAAAATTTGTTTTAAAATTTGATTTTAAATTAATAATAATAATAATAATAATAATAAAAACAACGGTGATTGATTTCGTAAATATTTTTATCTGCCATTCTAAAATATTAAAATTCCAATAATATAAATAATAATAATAATTAAAAATAAATTAAAAAAAAAGAAAAAAAAACGTTTATTTATTATTACTCGATCATATAATTTTACTATTTTTTATCTCTCTCTCCCCTTTCCCTTTTTCTCCCCTCCTCTCTCTCTTTTTCTCTTTTTCTCTCTCTCTCTCTGTACGTACGACAAAAAAAAAAAAAAAAAAACTAACAAACTACAAAAAATAAAAAAAAAAATTCAAATTGAAAAGTGTATATATAAATAAATATAAAAAAAAGTTTACGATGATGATGATGATTATGATTATTATTACGATGACGGTAGAAATAATAATAATAATAATAAATAAATAAATATAAAATAATTGTTCAAAAAAATAATAATTAATTAATTCATTCAACAATTAAATATTTTTGTAAAAAAATTTCATTTTTAATCTTGGTTTTCCCTCATTAATAAAAGTTTTAAAATATAAAATTAATAATTTATTAATTATTAATTAATTAAAAAAAAAACTACCCTTTTTATCGAAAATGTTTCGAAACATTCATTTCGCTATAAAACATACAAAAAAAAAAACAAAATTTAAATTATTATTATTATTGAAATAAAATTATTAATATTAGAAAATTTTTCATTTTCGTTATTATAAATTTTCGTTTTTCCTACTTTTTTTTTTGTAAGAAAAACCTTTTTTATTATCTAAATATTATAGGAGATATAGTTTTTCTTACATTTCTTTTTTTTAAAGCGCCACCAAGATATTGTGAAAAATTTATTAATTTTCCACATTACATTATTAAAATACAAAATAAATTCAATCAATCCATTTTGTTAAGAAAGAAAGAGAGAGAGAGAGAGAGAGAGAGAGAGAGAGAGAGAGAGAGAGAGAAAGAAGAAAGATTTTTTTGTAATACATTAAAAGACAGAGAAAAAAAAATTAATAATAATGATAAAATAAATAACATTATAACAAAAGATTATTATTATTAATGAGTTTTCACACGATACCTGTTCGAGGTATAAATAATTTTTTTTATTAAAAACTTATAATTAATTAATTAATTAATAAATAATATTTTCTATTGTCAAATTCCGATGATAAATATTTAAAAAAAACTATTGATGAATATATAAAAAATAAATAAATAATAAAAGCATAAATTTATTTGATTGTTTTTTTTTTGCCCGCCATTTTTATTTTTCTTGACTTATACTATTTAATATATATATTTTTTTTTTAAACGTGAAAAAACTTGCCAACCATTAAATCATTTTATTTAAATAAAAAATAATAATAATAATAATAAAATAAAATGAAAATACATTGTTTGTGAACAGGTGACAAAATTATGTAAATAAAAAAAAAAAACAAAAAACCATTACTGATAAATTAATAATAATTAATTATTTTAACGGTTATTTTACAAACGATGACGGCGATGATGATGATGATGATGATGATGATGACGATGACGACGACGACGACAATTATGACAATAACAATTAAAATTATGAACACAATCAATGATTTGTTTTTTTTTTTTTTTTTTTACTGAAAAGCCGCAGTACCGAAAGTGGAATACGGAGGCAGTGATCAGTAAAAGAGATCGGAAACTGAACACATCTTATTATACACAACATGTAAATGTATGTACAAGTTGAAAGAACCCGATTCGGAGAGTTCACAAAAAAAAGGAAAACCCCGAATAAATTATTATTTTTGAAATTCCGAACTTCCTCCCCAATTCCAATCTTTTCCTTTGGGACGAAATTTTTCCTTTGGTCGACACTGAACGTTCGACGAGGTGTCGTAGACTTCCCAATTTTCACGGTGAAAAAACTTCTTTTTAAAATGATGAGGAGTTTTTTTGACAGCGTTATCCGACGTTGCGGGATATTTGACAGGAACCGAGGGGGGTAATGAAGGAGGAGAAGGAGACACGTGAGGAGCCGATAGGTCTTCTGCGGTGGTCGATATCGGACTGTAAGGCCCATCTAATGGCGCCGGAGAAAATGTGTTGATCGTGAGAGGAGGAGGAGAGGATGGAGACGGAGTTCTGGGAACGTTTACCATATCGATGACCAGGGGAGGATCCAGTACGGGAGGCGAATCTCGACCGGGTGAGGGTTTCGCAGGGGGAGTTTTAAAAAGGCGGGGCATTTTAGGTCCGGGACAAAGTCCCTCAATATCGGCGATGGAAAACCGTTTTTTCCCAGGGGGTAGCATGAGATTTGTAGAAGGTGGATCTCCGTGACCTATTCCAGAATCCGGGCTCGTATTGCAACTGGCATTTGATTCTCCTTCGGTGCTCCGACGGCGCTTATCCAACTCGGTGGAAGCAAACGCGACCAGTCTATCGAACCCGCTGCTTATTTTATCCTGCCACTTGTCACCCTTGTCTTCATCATCTAGAACCGAATCCAAAGCTAAAAAAAAACAACATTCAAAGCACATTTTTAAACAAAATAATTTTTCCAACGAAGAACAAAAAAGCAAGTGCACCCTTTGCCACGATGCACGACAATGCTTTGCATATATTTAATGCTCATATATATATATTGAAACTTGAGTTTAGTGCTCGGGGGGTGGGGCGGGCGGGGAGGGGGAAGAGAGAGGGGATGGGAGCTAAATTAAAAATAAAAAACTACAAAACATTCAGCAAATTCCACTACAACGACATTCAAAATTAAAAAAAAAAAAAAATAAAAAATAAATAAAAAAAAGGAGAAAATGCCAGTTAAAAGTTTATAGAAACTTACCTTCACCGTGATTACAACGAATCTGGAAAATATATTGTGTGAATGTGAATGCATCTTCAGTGCCAGTGCGAGCGGGCGGTGCCTACAGGGATGCAAAGCACTAGTTAAAACACTAAAAACACCGACAAAGCCTGCTCGATAGTAGTAGTACCTTAATCGTCTCTAATGTAGGTTCATTCAGTCACGTGTTTAACGTATATAGTCCCGTGTCTTCGTTGTTTGTTTATTTTGAATAGGAAATTACTTTAATTAAAATAAATTATTATTATTATTGACTAGTTTTCTTTTTTTTTTTTCTCCCAAGACAGTCACATTTCTTAATTATTATTATTATTATTTTTTTTTTAAATTTGTTTTCCCGTCTCCTCATGTATCCACCATAATGTTCATCGTCTATCGAGCATTTTTTTTTTTTTTTTTTTTTTTAAACTAAATACTTAAAAACATAACAAAATATTCAAACAATAGTAGTAGTTTTTTAAATGAAAAATTTTTTTAATTTAATTTAAATTAAATTAAATAAATAAATAAATAAAATAAATAAATAAATAAAGTTGATAGTAAAATTTGTAATCAAAGTAATATAAGAAGAAAATCTATGGCACCAAAAATAAATTCATTCCTTTGAAGAGAAAGAAAAAAAAAAAATAATTTTTTTTTACAAATTTCATTAAAAACTAATATAGATGTATAAGAATTTTCATCATTCTCTGCATAATAATAATAATAATAATAAAAAATAAATAAATAAATTTCCATATGAGATTTTTTTCGCGCCAGAAAACAAGAAAAATTATTTCGAGTCAAAACAATAAATAATAATAATAATAATAATAATTTTTCTCGTTTTCTAACCTTTTGTAATAATAATTACCTATGCGATTATAAATTAAATAAAAATATTAAAAAGAAAAAAAAAAAAAAAATTAAACTTAAAAACGTTTTCCAGAAACACATTCAAACGTGCATGCAAAAAAAAAAAAAAAAATAACAGAAATGCTCAAGATAATTTTATAATAAGACCAGCAGGTTTCTCATTGATTCTCTCATTGGAAAAAAAAAAAAAAAAAAAAAAATGTTTGTTCGGCAAATAAACGAGATGAATTATTTATTGGGGGAGGGGGGGAGAGAGAGAGAGAGAGAGAGAGAGAGAGAGAGAGAGAAAGAGAGATAGAGAGGGGGGGACGAAAAGAAAAAAAAAAAAAACGTAATACGAGAGCTGGCCTTTTTTTTTTTTTTTTAAATAATAATAATAATAATTTTAAGAAGCAAATACAAGCATCAGCAGCATCAACAACAACAGCACGTGTACCACAATAAAAAAAAAAAAAAAAAACAAGCAAAAGAAATTACAGAAAAAATAATGTATTTCCAATTCAAGGTATAATAATAACGGACATTCATTCAAATTTGTAACGTACCTCTGTTGTAACTCAAAAATTTTTTTAAAAAAGAAAAAGGACCTTTTTTAAAATAATTTCTGATTCGAAAATCTGAAATTATGGAAGAATCATTGCTAGTAAATAAAATGATATACTTTTTTTTTTTTTTTTTTTTAAAAAAAAAAAAAGCGCGTTACAACAACACCTAGTGTGTGTGAGAGGCAGTGACAAACGCAGAATAATAATAATAATAATAACAATAACAATAATAAAGGCCGAAATTGTATTTTTTGTAAAATGGGGAGGGGAGGGGGGGGTTTCTGATTGATAGCTACCAACAAAAAAAAAAAAAAAAAGCTGATTTCAAAAGGTTTTTTTTTTTTTGTTTTTGTTCTTCCCCTTTTAAAGTAAAACCTTTGAATATTAAAAATTAAAAAAAAAAAAAAAAAAAAAAAAAATTTATTTAAATCTATCTAATAATTTTACCTTTTTTTTTTTTTTATAAAAAAAATTATATTAAATTTAAAAATTTATCTTTACCTTCTTCGTGCGGTCTCCTGTCTTCTTCGTTATACGGCGTCGATTTTCCAGAATTGTTTTCCGGGGAAGATATCGCGCTGATCGCAAGCGGTTGACTCGCATTATTAACCACCGAAGAAATGTCCGCAACGCTCTCGGCCAAATGAGATTTTTTCGCTGAACGTATGGGTCCGTGAATAACCGGAGAAGCTCTTTTTTGAGGGATGGATTTTCTATCTTTGTAATCCGCATTTCTTCCCGTGAAATTCCTGTCGGGGATTTCATTTTTTATCGTCGCGTTGTGAACTATCGAAGTGCTTAAAACACTACTTCGATACATCGCCATATGTTTTTTATCTTGTACTTCCACGTACGGAGGACAAACTTCAATTTTTGGTATTTCCGGTCTTTTGTCAACGGTTCTTCCGATCGAATTGTATTTACTGTCGTAGTGCATGCAATCGAGAACGGCGGTATCACTTTCTTCTTTCACGTCATTCGCGGGAGAAATCGAAGAACCATCGTTTAATAATCGAGCGTGTAACGTAGCCGCCAAACCTTCGACGGGAGCAAAATTTGGCTGCGGACAAGTATAAGCCTTTGTTGAATTTGGTTTGAAATCTTTCATGTCAGTAAAGTAAGACTCTTGATAGGGTTTGATATCCGCTCGGGGTAACTGAACTGGAGTGTATCGGCACGCATTATTTTGCCGCTGAGTTGGTAAATTGTGATAGGGCATATTGGAATACGGATTGTTATTCCTGTGTGGGTAAGTATTAGCAGAATATGATTGTTGATTATATGCTACTTGTGCTAAAGTCGCCAAATTATTATGACTAATCGGAGATTTTGGTCGGTGAGGATAAGCTAATCCTTCCAATATTGTTGTCGGATGAATTATGTTAGTCGGAGTAGGAGGATTTCCAACTTCCGCACTACTCGGTCGGGATATAGGGGAATAAACAGTCCGCAAAAGGGGAGAAGGGCTGCTCGCAACTCTTTCTTCCTCTTTTTTAAATGTGTCTTCGACTCGAGATAACCTACTTCCGCTTCTTTCCGTTTTAGGTGGCATGTTGTTTGCTACTGAACTTGCCGATGATGAATTTAAAATGGGGCTCATATCGATAGCCACATTAATAATATGCTGATTAGATATTTCTAAAGTTCTTTCTATTTCTCCACTGACCAAATCACCAATAGAACGAGTAGCTACGTAACCCAATCCTCCTTTTTCATCGAGTTGTTGAATTTGTTGCGCCGAAGCTGCAGCTAATTTTTCCTGAGACAAATGTCTGCGCAGTGCGAGTTTCGCAGGCGAAACTTGAGTGTAATCCGGCCTGGGTTGAGATCTTTCCTTTTCTCGATTCACGGTTTCTGCTTTTTTAAAAGATTTCTGCTCTTGCTTGACTAAACCATTTGATGAATAGAAGCAAGAATTGTTATTTTGGTAACCTGTTGAAATAGTCTGCTGATTAATATTAACAGTAGCAGGAGTAGCAGTAGCAGCAGCAGCAGCAGCAGCAGGCAAATATTGTGAAGATGAATTTCGAGAACTTTCCTGGGTTTGTAATTGCGATAATGTTACGGTCGCTGAAGGAGGTTTAGAATGATTTTGGTGATGCTGATGACTTTGTTGCCGATCTCTATTATTCTGATCTTCGTTTAAAACACTTGTAATTATGCTTTTTAACCTATCTTCGAAATTATCCAAACGAGGAGGTTCTTGGGTACGATTTGCATTATAAGATTGTTTTTCTTTAACATGTTGAGATTTCCACTTGGTTTTAGTAGTCGAATCCGTTTTAGTCATTCCCACATTTCTTCCGTTGGTGGATGTCGGAGGATAATAATTGTGTTGCCTAATGTTAGCATCAGAAGAAAATTTACTTTCATTTGCGACGTAACCATTTGACAAGCTATTATTATACTTAATATTAGAGCTAGGGAATTTTCCGGCTTCAATTTGCCTTCCAGTTTCCAAAATTTTTTGTGCCAAAATTTCGGGATTATTTTCTTCGATTTTTTCAATGTTCGGAACTTCCGGCCACTCTTGGGATCGCGATCTGTGTTCCCTACTTTTTCTGGGAGATTTCGATTGATTCAGTTGACTCAAAGACTTTTCCGGTACCACGATTTGCTTTGGTACGTTAGATAAAATTTTCTTATCTTCTTCTGCTTTTTCCATAGCGTTCAATTCATTTTCTAATCTAGTGACATGATTTTGTAGTCTTTTTCTATGAGACAGCGTAACCGATATTTCTTTCAATATGTATTCCAACGTTAACGTAGAAATATCTATGCTCTCGTTAACACCATTTGCGTATCCTATTTTTTTGTACTTTTCAATGATTTCTTTTTGCCTTTGCGAAACCAATTTCGCTTGATCTTCCTCGATTGTAGACACTTGATTTTGCAACTGAACCGCTCTCGCTTGCAGTTCTCTATGCCGCCAAACTATATCTTTGGCTTCTTTTAATAAGTCAGCCGTACTGGTAGCATTTATTCCAAGTTCTGACATTCTAGCTTTTAATAAAGCAACGCTATCACTAACAAGGACATTTATTTGCTTTTCCAACTGAGCAGCTCTACTTTTCAATTTTTCATTTTTTTCCTTTAACAAAAATTTCGTTATTACGTACAAGAATATTAATTTAATAAAAATAAATAAATAAAATTTTATACTGACTTTTTCAGTTTCGATCTGAGCCTTAACATCTAATTTATGCTGGGGGGTTTTAATTAGTTCTAATAACTGTAAATATTGAGCTCTGTACATTTCCAAAAGCAATTGCAAAGCGTATGGAGTATCTGCCGGAGCCGGGGGAATATCCAATTCGTTATGAACATCGGAAAGTTCGACGGAAGGCATAACGCGTAAGGCAGTCAATTGTTGATCGACACAACCCGGCGCAGGAGGAAGTTTTTTACCTATGGCTAATAATGGAAAAAAAAAAAAAAAAAAAAAAAAAAAAAAAAAAAAAAAAAAAAAAAGATCATTTAATAAAATACGAAATTGCACGCATTTGAAACTTTTATCTAAGAAAAAAAAAAAAAAATTATATTGAAACCTTGTGGAGATGTGCTTAATAATGTTTGACTGTGGAGTAAATCTAATCCAGTAATTTTCAACGTTTTCTTGGCTTTTCCACGTCGCAATTTCGTTTTTGTTCTTTTTGGAGCAGGAGGCGCTCTAGGCGGAGGGTTTAGATTTTTATCATTAGCCTTAACATTTTTCCGCAATTTTTTATTTTGAACTGTTTTATCTGAAAAAAATAAAATAAAGAGCAACTTTTAAGGCAAATATTTCTCACGACATATACTACTTACTTGTCCCTTTTTTAAATTTACCATTATTGTTGCTGGTGTTTTGAATGTTATTGTTTTCCTCCTCGCTTATGCTAGATTTTCTCCTATTCGTCTCTGGTCCGTACCTCCGAACGGTCGATTTATTTCGGGCATTTTTAGAAACCGTAGACAGCGGACAATTGCTATCCTCGTCCGAATCCCGAGATTCAGAACTAACCGAATTCATTGTTTGCTTGGAAGAATCCCTTCGAGCTCTTGAATTTCGCAACATGTTATTCGATATTGAATCTTGCAATCCTCCATTATTGTGGTTATTATTACTATTATTATTATTACTATTACTACTACTGCTGTTATTATTACCCTGCAATTACGTTTATAACCTTGAGTGTTCAGTAAAATTTATCAAAATTTATATTAATAATATAGAATTTCCTTACTCTCGCTCGAGGATTTTTTGTACGTTGAAAATATCTTTCAAGTTTTGTTCTATCAATTATGTGCAAATAATAACTAACTGGTTTTCCAGTCCAAGACACGGAACCTTTTAGCGGAGACATTTCCGAGACATGCATTATCGTTCCAATGTCTAGCGAAAACAAAAAAAAAAAAATTTATTTAATTTTTCAACACTTAAACTATACAAAGATAATAACTATATAGTGTAAGCAACTATTTTTACCTGAAAGATTTCTATCCGTGATTCGAAAATTAAGAGGACAAAACGATTTTGACGAAACAATTCTAGCTCCATCTTTAAGATCCGCAAATCTCTCCTTTAAAGAATGATCCACGTTTGGACCGAATGCAAAATTATTTACAAAAACAATGGTTGCCGAAACAATTTTCTCCCTGTGTTCGGCTTTTAAAAAATCCCCTTTTATTAAATGATATTCACCGTATTTTTTACCATACCATCCCATCCATTTTTTAAAATTTTTATTCATATCCTGAAATAATAACAATTTCATAAAGTCAATAAAAAAAAATTGTAGAAAAATTTAATAACGTAAAATTCTTTTAATAATAATTAGCCTGTATAATACTTTTACGCAATGCTATTAATAAATATAGATAAATGCTAACTAATGATTTGACCTTAGAAAATGAATAGCTATAAAAATCTGATTATGACTATAAAAAATTAGTTTTTTTTTTTTTTTTTTTTAAAGTAAAATACCTCGGCATATCGTGAAGGAACTTCAGCTTTTTCCACTCCGAAGCAAACTTTGCAAGGAGTAGCAGCAGCCATTTGCAACACGACTTGACCGACTCCCGATCCCAAGTCGACGAAAATATCATCTGAAGTGATTTCAATTTGATCTATCATCTGACAAATAAGATCGTACGATGTTTCCCCATACACTTCCGGAGAAAACGGTTCGTACTGATTTAGTTTTTCCGGATCGGTAACAGCTTGATTGTAAACCTGTTGCAATATGTGCCTCAATAAACCCCTAGACGGATACTTGTTAAGTCTAGCAGCTGGTAAAGAAGTTCCCTTTTCCTAAAAAAAAAAATTAAAATTTTTATTAAGCCTTCAAGTTTTAAGCGGGGGGAAGGGAGGGGGGCACACGTTCACAATAAAATTAATTCCTTATTTTAGGAAAATTAAAATTTCATACGAAAGTTATTTCCGCTAAATTTAATATGTTAATTACTTCATGTTGGAAAATGGAAACTTTTCATGCCCCCCAATTTAATTTTCCTCAAATATCTTTACAAATTAATAAAAAAATAGTTAGTTTCCTTTAAATTTTTTACGGACCATATAAAAAATTACAAAAAAAAAAAAAAAAAAAAAAAAAAAAAAAAAAAACTTTTATTATTGTGTCAAATGTAAAAGAGAGAGAGAGAGAAAAAAAAGGATTTTAATGAAAAAGGGATTGGAAAGAATTATCGATTTTATTGAACGACAGACAACCAACCAACCAACCCTCTTATAATTAAATCCCCCCCAAAACTATTAAATCAAGTCAGTAAATGAATGATTTTTTTCATTTTTCAAATGTATATTTTTACGATATCAGAGTCACTACGATTTACAATCAGAGTTTTCATAAAAACTTTTCATTGTTTTCTTTACGTTTAATTTGTCGTTTTCGTATACTTTTTTATAAGTCAAAAAAATGTAACGAATTTAAAAAAAAAGTTGCACAAATATGTACGTAATAAATAAATAAATAAATAAATTGTTTACCCTTTGACGACGTGATATGATGAACATCACAAACGTAAAATTTTTTTATTTTATTTTTTTTCTTTAATAAAAGTGAAAGTTTCGTTTAAATTTTCCCCAACCTAAGATGAGTTATTTACGTAATACGTTTGAACCTCTAACGTCATTCTTTTTAAAAAAAAAAAATTACTCCACGCTTACGATTGTAAAAAATTTAAAAGACCGAGGAAATAATTGAAAAGCGGTGCGAGTCACTGTTTTTTTAAAAAAAAAAAAAAAAAACCGTGAAAATTTTACAGGGAACAAAATTTCCCATTTTAGTGCAATGCACACTCTCTAAAACCGTTAGATTTATACATTGGCTTTTTTTTTAATTTTTTTTTTTTTTTTTTTTTTTTTTTATAATTCTTTGTCTGATGCATTTAAAAAAATAATTTCATAAGTTTAAACCTATTTTTCCATATAATTTTCCTTTTTCCTGTGAAAATTTATTTTAATAAAATTAAGTAAATCATACATTCAATTAAAAATTACGAACCATAAACATATTACTACAAATTTTTAAATTTCAACGATTTGTCTTTGATTTCTGACAAAAAAAAAAAAAAAAAAATTTAAATTAATATATTTTTATCGCTCTCCGTGAGTTATGGAGAGGGGAGGGGAGGGGGAGGGAAATAAATAAATAAATAAACACATCACCTTTGTGCTCTTTCTTTTAAACACCGATTTATTGATTTAGGTATCGATCTATATAGCACAAAGAAAAAAAAATTCCCAAGTACGAAATACATATTATAAATTGAAATTTTTTTTTAATCGAAAAGTTACTTTTTCTCTCAAAAGTTGTTTTGTGCAAAATTTCTCAAGGTGATTTATGCAATTGCAATTGCAATTCGAATTCGATCGACCGCGATTCGCGCACCACCTTCAAACTTGGCTCGTGTTATTTTAAACGTAACATTTTCACATATTAACGAACGTATAAAAAATGTTGTTGTTTAATTATAAATATTATAAATTAAAAAGAAAAAAAAAAAAAAAGAAAAAAGTAACGTAGAAAATTATATAAGATTCTCTTATGTCATACATCCGCTCTCATCTTCAATCCGTTCAAAATTCATTCGAAATTTTTTTATAAAAACGTTTTCCGACGAGAAAGAAAATAAATCTAGAATTTTTTTTTTTTTGAGGAGGAGCATGGTACTACCTGGCAGGAAATCGATCGATGTTATAAACCTGAGGGTTTGAATACTACCCTTATTAACAAACAATATTTACGAAAGAGAAGACGTGCTCAAAAGTCTCAAAGACAAATCATTATTTGTAAAAGAAAAAAAAAAAAAATGGCAACTTTATAAACTTTTTAAATAAAAAAAAAAAAACTTTAAAAAAGAAACATTTTTGTTTCCAGGGTTACGATGAGAAAAATCGATATAATCCTATTCATATTTTCTTCATATAGAAAACATATATTTAAACATTCTTTCACACATACCTACAAACACGTAAAGGTTTTCGAAAATCGAAAAATTATAAAATTGCATCATTCGAATTAAAAATTTTCGAAAATGTTCGAAAACACAAAACAATTCTTCGAAATTTTTTTTTTTTTTTTTTTTTTTTTTTTTAGAATAACAAAAACGTAAAAATAGTTTTTTTAAAATTTTTGAAAGGGGGTTTTTTTTTAAACTTTTTTTGTTGGCCGTTAAAAAAAAAAAAAATGCCCCCCCAATATATTTAACTTTTGATTTTTTTTTGAAAAAAAAAAAAAAAAAAAAAAAAAACGGCTCCCAATTTAAAATGCATAACATTGAATGTAAAAAAAAAAAAAAAAAAAAAAAAAACCAAGCTAGCTCACGCTATTAAGTGAGAAGGAAAACAAACAACGTTTGTACACAAAATGGTGAAGATAAAAATAGGTCACAAGGCCTCAATTAAATAAACTTTTTTTTTTTTTTTTCTACTGTTTTTTTTTTTATACGCGGTGAATTTTCTCTACGTACAAACACTTTTACGTTTTAAAATTATTATTTTCCTTCCCCTCCCATCCCCCCTTTTTTTCCCACCTCAATTTATTTCATTTTACATTTTATTAAAAAAAAAAAAAAAAATACTATTATTGAATGCCAGCTTAGTTTTTTTCTGTTTTTTTCCACCCATTTTAAAAAAAAAAATAAAATAAAATAAAATAAAATAAAATGAAAAAGAATTTCCCGATTTAAACTTTTTTAACATCACACCCCATTTAAATAAACAAGTTGTCGTCAGACTGTTGACCCATTTATTATTATCATTGTTAAAGGTCTTTTTTTTTTCAAAAAAAAAAAGAAAGAAAATTCAAAATCCTCAAAACATTTTCGACGTAGATTTTTTTTTTTTTTTCCTTTTAGTATTCAATTTAAAATTACTACGCAAGGTTGTGCAAAGATGTTTTCAAATGGACAGATGCAATACAAAAAAAAAAAAAAAAAAACCGGAAATACAAAAGTATCAGCTGCCTACCGCCTTTTTACAAAGGAGACAAGACAAGACAAGAATTAGGAAGTTTTCTCTTCTCTTTGTAAATTCATTAAAGTTTCATTATAATTGTTTTCCCTTAATTAATTTAAATTTAAACCAGTGGTTTTACGGTAAATGAGTTAAATTTAGGAACCCGCCATCGAATCAACGTAGAAAAATTTTTTTTTTTTTTTTTTTTTTTGTATTCGAAAAACAGAAAATAAAAAAGTTTTCAAGAATTTTTTTTCTGTTTTAGATATAATTTCCATTGTTTTTACAACTCGACTACTCTTATAACACGTATATAATTATTGTGTTGAGAGTGAAAGTCATGGTCTGTGCAATCAATTGTTATTACAATGCATTTTAGGTCAATAACCTAAAGTAACACAAGTAAAATTATTTTTATATATATACACACACACACACATCCGTTTGTTAATATTTACATTTTATTGCAGATTTATTTTGTAAACAGTAATAAGTTTGACCCTGATCTTTATTTTTATAAAAAAATTTTAACAAATTACTCAACCAATAAAAAATGTTCATCCCAAAGTGCTTCCTTTTTTTTTGTAACTCTTTAAATCGATACCAAAGAGAAAACTAATTCAATATCAATCCTAATTAGACTTTTAAGTAATTTTAACACCCATGTACATAAATAGTAATGCAATTTTAATAGAATCGAAAAAAAAAAACAAAAAAACATTTTAGTCGAGCGGTATTTAATCACAAAAAAAAAAAAAAAAAAACAAATTAACAGCCTTGACAAAGAATAAATGCCGCATATACACACAATTGATAAGGCTCAAGGTTCTCTCTCTCTCTCTCTCTCTCTCTCTCTCTCTCTATTGAAGATTTTTTTTTGTGGTGGGTTGGGCAAACGTTAAAATTGCACGTATTTTTTTTATGAGAGTATTATTACCCAGACGCGCCTGTGTCAAAAGGTGGCCAATGTTTTATTTACCTTTTAAACTCTCACATTATTTATTTCCGAATGTAAAACGTACAACACAACAATCTGTCATTGTGCAATATTGAGTAAGTGATATTAACATTGGAAGAGACTTGATTTACAACATAAACGAATTTTATATGTATATAAAAAATATTTTTTTTTCACTCACCAATTGAACTATGCTGTCGATGGCTCTGTTGAATCGATCACATAGACTCCTCATACTATCGTAGCTGTAAGTGAGTAAAAAAAAAAATTTATTAGTTCATTCATCAAACAAAAATTATAATCTAAATAGTATTAAAAATATGATTACCTTTTCGTATCGTAATCAGCTAAAATATTATTTTCTAAAGGTAATTTCAATTCGGGAATATCTTCACACACCCATCTGAAAGAAAAGAAAAGAAAAAAAAAAACAAAATTAATTTTAAAGCATTGATAAAAACATAAAAAATTACTATGAGGAAATCATGGGAAAAAGTGTTAACACGAGTAATTTTTTGGGGGGAAAATGGTTTTATAAGTAAATAGATTTGACCGATAATTTAATTAACTCGTACTTGAGTCAAACAAAACTCAATGAAATTGGATTAAATAACAAACCCCTTCTGTTGTACGCGTTTCAGGGTTGAATCAATGTTTTGTACAAAACTCCTCAAGTCGACAGTTAACCTTATTTTACTACGTCACCGCAATTTTTTTTTTATTTTCCCCCCTCCCCCCTACCGAACAAATTTCAAATATTCGTGAATTTAATTTAAAAAATTAAAAAACTTCATAAAACTACACGAAATCAAATTTGATACTATGAGGCTTTTACCCTAAATAAATACGGGAAAAAATTAAAAACCTTTTCGAATTGAATTACTATTTAAAATAAAAAAATTTTTTTCACCTTGAAAACTTTAGAATTTTTGTCGATAATAAATATTATTTTAAAAGATACTCCTCCGATTAGTTACCTGTGTCACTAATTTTATTTTTCAAAAAAAAAAAAAAAAAAAATACTATACGTTTCTGAAAGCGTGATTTCAGGAAAAAAAAAAAAAACCGTTTCATTAAACTTGCATTATTTGATCTCATCTTCAAGGTTAAATTAAACATTAATTTTTGATGCAAGGTAGTATATGTACACACACACAGCCTTCTATATTTATTATAAGAACTCACATGATTCACACATCAAACCTCGTGGTAATTTTTTTAATCGAAACTACTCCTTGGAAGTAGAATTTCAAAAAAAAAGGGATTTTAATTTTTTTTAAATTTTTTTTTGCTGAAAATGTACAAATTGTGAATTATGCGATTCCATTTAAATTTTCTTTCGCGAAAGGAATTCAAATGTCACAACTCAAATCAAGCTTAATTTTAACCATAAATTTTTTTTACTCTTTATCGAGATCAAACCGCATTTAACTTAAACATTATTTGTTGTTAATATTTTCACTTTTACTTTTAACTTTTTGATTTCTCTCATTGTTTCCATGGTTTTAATTTTAAGTTACCGACAGAAATAGTTGTCGATGACACGCAAACTTCCTTTTCGGTACGAGAATTTGTAATTGTCGAACGAATATATTTACGCTTATTTAATTTAAAACTATTACAGCCGTTAAAAAAATTAAAATTTGATTTCATAAATAAAATTAATCGGTCACCATTATTTGTTTTACGCAGCTAACTAACTGTACGGCTATAAACTACCTTTTATCTTCCATAATATAATTAATTATCATTTTCTTAAAATCTACAATTAAAATTAATTGCTTGTTAAATCGTTTTGACACAATATTATCCTATGAGCTTTCCACGTTATTAATGGTATTTAATTATTATCTTGTGAAAGTTCGCAATAAACCTTTTCATTAAAATCTTGGGAAAACGATTAAAACGAAAATAAAATAAATAATATTCATATTTAAAGTTTAAAAAAAAGGTGAGATGCGAAAGAAGAGGGTATACAAGTTTCCGGCAACTTTCAAAATCAAACTGCGAAAAGAAAATTAATATAAATCGAATAAGAAAAAGGTATATAATAGGTAATAATAGTAGCACACGCTATGCGATGCTTGGAATTTCTATAAAAGAATTTTATAGTTATATAACAAACCAATATAATCTGAAAAACTAGAAACTTGTTAAAATCTCCCTTATCTTCGTGAAAATTTTTAACCTGTTGCAACGAAAAGAAAAATCGTACAAGAAAAATTTCCATCTCGAGCCTAGAATTTTTATTCTCTATAAAAATTTTATTTAAGAAAAAAAATCAACGCTTAAATAATAACAACTGGGTAATATTTTGACGAAGATTTTCCTATTTTTGTAAATATTTCTTTTCTTTTAGTTTGACAGCACTAATTAAGAGTTTCATTCTATTTTTTAAAAATTAGGAAAATCGTAAAAAATTTTTTAAAGTATTGTTATCAAGTATAACAAGTAGTATCCAACACAGGTGTATTGATTGCATTTATGCATCCATCTTGCAAAATTTATAATAATAAAAAACCTAAGATTATAAAGTAAATTTTATGGTCATAATTAAAAACCTGATAAACAACTCTTATGAAATTTACTAAATGTGAACCCACGTTTTTAAAAAAAAAAAAAAAAATTTTTTTAATACGAATAATTTGCACTCTGTTGTTGCATAATCCCCCGTAAGACAAGAATTTATTCAATGTGCCTACACAAAAAAAAAAAACTAAACAAAAATTTTATTCTAATAATAAATTTAAAATAGATTAATGATAATATTTTATTACGAATAAAATTCACTTTTAATTTTAAAAAAAATGATTTTCGAGTTTCTGATTTAAAAAATCGGAACATAAAAAATTCTCATTTTTCCTATAAGGCAATTGACCATTTAAACTAAATTAATGAATGCTTTTTATATAAATCAATTTATCAATTTATGTAATTGCGGTTCATTTTTTTAATGGATCCTTTCTGTTATATATTGGCAGTTGAAAAAAAAAAAAAAAAAAAAGAAAAAAACAATAGCAAATAATTTTAAAAGCCATTTCGTGTGCTAATTAAACCGATAAGTTTTAAAAAAATATGTCAAGACCCACATACTCGGTCACATTACACAAACATACTCTAATTTATTATTGTGTTTACACGTTGTGAATAAGCTGCCAGGCGGTCATCATTATTTTTAAAAAAAAAAAAAAAAAAAAAAGGTATAAAACGAATATAGAATCAATACTTTTAATGTCGAACAACGTACTCAACAATGGGACGGAGTCTGCGTGACCTTAAGCAGATCAATATGAGGTCATCGTAGGTCAACGAGTGAGAAAAAAAAAATTTTTTTTTTTTTGCATCGCAGACCGACTAAATTTGAACGTGGTAAACATATTCGAATATACGTATCTGCAAGTTCGGCTACATTTTAAAAACCCGAAAACTCGTTCAGAAAATAATTACGTTTAGACGAAGACTCTCAGTAACTCCCACGAGTCACGGCTGGTTGTTGCACTCAGTCTTCCTCAAACTGTCTTAAATTTTACATTATCAACTCATTTTGCCCGCACTAGTTCAATTCTTGCTTGCTTGCTTGTTTGTTTGTTTGTTTGTTTGTGGGGCAATGAACGAGCTTTATTAAACGTAAAAATGCGCTCGTGAATTTTACTCGAAAGTTTAACACGTCGAACGTTTTACATTTTTTGCGAATTTTTTTTTTTTTAAATAAAGAAAAATGTATATTATTTACCTTATTGTTTCTACGATTTCCAAAGCACCATCATGCTTATCTTTGTCTTTATCCTGAAACAAAAAAAAAAAAAAATAAATAAATAATAAAGCAACAAGATTTTTAACATTAATTAAAAAAAATTTTTTTTCTTTATTTATTCAACAGGTAATTAACTTAATGAAAACAAACAAACAAACAAAAAAAATAAAATTTTGTTCAATCGAAATAAATTTTTAGTTTATATATAAACGATACGAAAATATTAATTATTTACAATAATTTTCCAGAAAAGGTACAAAACATTTTAAATTTTATTTTAATTACGTGAGGTAGTAATTATTAAATAGGTGACTTGATTTTAAATACTGAACAATTTTAAAAGCTTTTTTTTATAGCAACAAAAATACTCAATTTACGAATAATTGCTTTAAAATTTGCGTTTGTTAGCAACATAGTAAAAAATTTAAATTTAAATAAATAACAATTTTTCTGCTGTAAATATTTATTTAAAATAAGTTCTTAAAAAAAAAAAAAACCTTCGGAATATGAAGAAAAAATAAACCATGTTTTAAAATTAAAAAATATTTATAAAATATATATATTAGATTGTGTAAAAAATTTTTTAAGATTTCTTGTGAGAAATGTGGGGTGATTAACAATAAGTAAAAAAAAAAGCAGCTGTTGCAATAATAATCCAAAGAAATTTTTTTTTGTAAAGAAATCCACTACTTATTTACCTGTGAACTTCATTTCATTAATATTTATTTACCAAGTATAAATTTTGTAAAGTGCAAGTTAATTTAAATCAAAGCAAAAACGTTACCAAAAACATATAAGAACTAAAAATAATTTTTTTCCTATTTTATGAAAAATTTAAATTTACTAAAACACTTAAAATAATATAAAACAAACAACTTTTAGTTAATTTTAATTATTTGAAAAAAAAAAAAAACCATTATAGAATTAAAAATATTTAGTTTATAAGTAATTAATAAATTATTACATAACTTGAATATTTTAACGTACAAAAACACAAATGCAATAAATTACAATAAAAAAAGGATTTAAAGTTTTTTTTTTTTGTTAGAAAATTATTATTAGAAAAACAAGACTTGGAACCAATGATAACAAAAAAAATAATAATAAATCAATTTTATATATTAAGCTAAATAAAATAATAAATTTTATTTTAAATTCTACTGTCCTCTAATATATATTACTAACAAACAAAAAAAACTTTAAACAAATAATTATTAATCTTGAATAAAAATAAAATAAATAAATCTTTTTAATGGATTTCTTATAATTTAACCACACAATCAATTAATACTTTTAATGTTAGAAAATTTATCTTAAAATTTATTTTGTTAAAATAATAATAAAAATTTTATATAATTTTTTATGATATAAAATTTTCTATTAA